CTTGTTAATAAATTTTAATTTCTTTAACATTTTTGAAAATTTTGAAAATATTTGAAAAATTTGAATTTTGAAAAAATAGAAAAAAATTGATTATAAATTTTTTTTAAACATTTGTACGTTTTTGAAAATACTGATATTTTTTTAAAACTTGAACATTTTTTTAAATCAGATTTTTTCTTCGTAAACCACTCAAAATTCATCAGTTTACATAAATTTTATAATAATAAATTTATCACAAAGATAGAACAACCATTTGTGTTGCCACCTATAAAAAGCCACGACGTTTAAATAAAATGAAAACAAACTAATATTTGCAACAAAAGTCGATTTTATCTCATTTCACGTTCGAAATATACATACTTTTTCCTCTAATGATCAAGAAATATGAATGAAATTTTGTTCGATTGCCTGAAACACCGAAAATTTTTACAACTGGACATTTATTGGTCATTTGGTCATAAATTGCTCGATTGCCTGGTTGCCTAGTGGATGGGTGCCATAAGACTCACAAAAGCACAACAGCTCATAAGACTCGTTGAGTTCCGATTGCTGTTAAAAATAGATTTAAAAAAGTTAAACCACCCGCCTGAACAAGTATGTTCAACAGATAATGTAAACAGCAGGCAACAAATGGCATGCGCTGATTTCAACGAAGAAGTTGATGAACCTGAGCCAAGAATAATGGAAATGTTCATTGTGGTCATAAATGGTCATAAATTGCTCGATTGCCTGGTTGCCTAGTGGATGGGTGCCATAAGACTCACAAAAGCACAACAGCTCATAAGACTCGTTGAGTTCCGATTGCTGTTAAAAATAGATTTAAAAAAGTTAAACCACCCGCCTGAACAAGTATGTTCAACAGATAATGTAAACAGCAGGCAACAAATGGCATGCGCTGATTTCAACGAAGAAGTTGATGAACCTGAGCCAAGAATAATGGAAATGTTCATTGTCAATATAAATATCAGACACAAAAAACAAAGAGGAGAGGCAAATAACGCATTCCTTATTGACAAAGACAAAGATACAGTTATAATTTCGACGTTCGCCTGAACAAGAACGACTATCGCGGAACAGTCGTAATTTCGATGGAACGAAAGTTAACGAAAAGTGAGAAATCCGTTGGAAGCTAAAACATTCACTCATCACTCATCATCAGAGGAAATGGAGAGGAATCGCGTTATTCGTTAAATACATTTTCTCATTATTTGATGATAAATTGTTTAAGGGGGTATTTTAGTGTAGACATTCAGAAAAATCGAATTTTTTTTTATTTCACATTTTCGAAGTTTAACTATCTAAGAATATGGGTACGAGAAGGTTTTTGAAAATTTGAATTATTTTCGGAGATATAGGCATTTTACTTACTCGGTCTCCATACTGGTTTGGGTTCACGCAAAACTTTAAATGCGTTTTTCTCAGAACAGACTTTTTCAGTACTTTTGACACGATTTCTCGAGTTTTAATCGACCGATTAAAACTCGATTCACTTGAAATGTTCAGAGAGTCTTATTTATAGACCTATCTATAGCTCGAACTAGGATTATCCCCAAATTCCAATTTTTACTGTTTTTAAAAAATTCGAGAAACTCAAAAAAACAGCAAAAAAACACTTTTTTTCAAACAGTCGCCAATTTGTAAAAAAAAATTGTTTCACCACCGCTAGTTCGGGCGATTGCGACATCATTGTAGATTAATAATATTTTTATTTTTTGCATTTCCGATCGCTAGGAGGGCTGAAATCATGTCAAGACTGAGGTGCCAATTTTTTGAGACCACCCACTTCATCAGTTGCCAGTTTTTACAATTTTCAACTTTTTTATTTTTTAATTTTTGTTTTGTATTTTAATAATATTAATAAAAAAGTGGTAAAAAATGGATAGTAAAAACATTCATTGCTTTCTTTTACGACACTTTAAAAATGACCTAAAATTCATCGCTCTACACTAGAAACCCCCTTAATAACGAATACTTACACGGCCGTTTTATAAAATATTGATACAGTAGAATCTCGATTATCCGGACCTCAGTTATACGGATTCGCGATTATCCGGACTACTAACCGCGACTAATTTATATGCATGTACATATCTACAATTAATACATTATCTACAATAATACAAGAAACTTTGTTCAGTATATAATGTTCCTTCGAAACAAAGTTTCAATTTCTTAATAAACATTATTTTCGTTGATATCTATGTATGTATTTATTATTTTTAATAAATATACAACATTATTCTTCATACATTCGATTATCCGGATGCCTATCGACAAAAAATAGTCCGGTTAATCGAGGTTCTACTGTATTTAAAATTATAACCTAATAAATTTTGATTGCGATGCAGTTATTGTTTTGCGATGCTTATTAACATCATCATCATTATGTATATCATTTCATAAAATATATAGTTCTCAAAATTCATATGGCTGCCAATTTAATTTAATTTAATTTAACAAAATTGAAAAGAACAACTGGGTAGCCAAATCTTTAAGAACGTTAATTCTATAATTTACATATATACTGAACATTTTTCTTGTAAAGGCAGAATTTAACAGAGAAAAATTATATCAACAATTTATTGATTTCATTGATTGATTTATTATTATTTTCACTGAAGTTGTAAAAATTTTATATAAATATTTGGTATTACTCAGACCTTATAATATATTAATGGTTTCACCACATATTGAAATGTAGTTTCTTAAATATACTTTATATAAAGCCATAATAAAACCGATCTGGGATAATGGCTTTGAGTTGTGAGGTTACGCCAGTGGATCAAGAATTTCATCTATTCAAAGGAAAGTCAATAATTGTGAGATATATTGCTAATACACCTTGGTATATTAGCAACCAAATAATACACAACGATCTGAGAATTGACACTGTCCAGGAAGTAGCAAAAAACAGAAGTGGGATCCATCATGATAAGATTATCAATCACAATAACTCTGCAATCATTCCCATATTAGAACCATCAGTTATTAGAAGATTGAATAAGAAGTATCCCTTTCGATCTAATGTATTAAAATGGAGTAGTTCACTGGGGTTACTACCTCCAGTATGTAGAACTCCAGTACCATCACTAGAATTCTAATAACAAGACAATTGTTAGGGGATTTTTTGATTTTCTGTTTACTGTTTAATTTTTTTTTGAATATATATATCGCTACTCATAAAAATTAAAAAAAAAAATTTACTAATAACTTTTAATAATAATATTTTAAATTCTAAGAATTTCCAGACTAGTCAGATTCTAATTAGTTAAATAAACTAGAATTATGTGCTTTTAAAAATATTTTAAAGTAAAACACTGTAGTAACATGAGACCAATCCCAGCATATGAAACGCGCAAAGCCGAAAAAAAATTCTACTAGCGTATGCGGCGATTAAAACGGTACATTGTGTTACTCTTTATAAATTTTAGACGATATCAGTCATATAGAATTTGATGTTTGAACATCTTGTTTATATATATACAAATTAATGGATTAAAACTAGTGGGGTGTGTAGAATCGTGCCTTAAGGCAAATTGCTGGAACTTCCCGTACCGTAACGAAATGTTCGAGGAATACTGAATGTTTTCAAATAGATTATTATAAATATTGTAGCATTGTCTAATATTTATAAGAATTATATAAACTGAATTGCAAAGTTGAAATTATTTGTTAAACAAGTATATTAGAACTTTAATCAGAATTAAAAATAAAATCTGATTTATTTTCGATATACAAAAAAAATTTTTTTGAAAAAAAAAATTTGAAAAAAAAATTATTTTGAAACAAACATTTTTTTCCAAAATCAATTACTATGTTAAAATAAGCAGAAAGTTCTTTGAATCATTTAAATCGGACGCTTAGTTCTCTCAAAAACTGCTATTTTTTTTTTAACAAATGGCTAGGCCTACCTATGCCAAAAACTAATAACCACTTCTCTCAATCATTACTAATTAAATGCTTTTTAGATCATTCAAATCGGATGCTCCGTTCTCTCAAAAACTCGATTTCTATTTTCTGCACTCTTTACTCTTTAACTCCGTAACTGCTGGACCTGCCTTTGGCAAAAACTGATCAGCACATCTCCCTATCAATAGGAATCGAATGTTTTTTGAACCATTCAAATCGGTTGACCCGTGCGCCCGAAAACGTGACCGAAAAATTGTATCCATACATACATACACACACACACACACACACATCCATTTTTTCTGAGGTATGCCAAAATGTTCAGAAACCTTCAAAACGTCGAGAAATGTAAAAAATTTCCAAAAATTTCGATTTTTGGACGATTACAATAACTTACCCTACGGGAAGTTAACTAGTGGTGCATGGCATCGTGCCTTAAGGCAAATTGTTGAAACTACCCGTGCCGTAATTTAAAATTTTTAAAAGCTCAGAAAAAAAAATCAGATTCTTTCCGATAATTTCCAATTTTTTTAACACTTTTCAAAATTCTATGAAATTTTGACAGTTCTTGAAAGTTTTTGATACCCATTAATGTTGGTTGATTCGTACTATCAAAAATCTTACTTTCGACCGTCAAATGTCATTTTTTTAAACATTTTTTTCTGGATTTTCGAAACTGCTGAACCTACCTTTGCAAAAATTTAATCAATTCTTCACTACCCTAACACGAGTGAAATGATTTTTGAATCATTAAAATCAGAAGATCCGTTCTCTCAAAAACTTAATTGCCATTTTCTGCACTTTTTGCTTCGTAGCTCCGAAACGGCTAGACTAACTTTTGCTAAAAACTAATCAGCAGATCTCCTTATCAATAGTAATTGAATGCTTTATGAATAATTCAAATCGGTTAATCCGTGCTCTCAAAACACAAATTTTCACACACATACAAAATTTCTTTCTTTTAAAGTATGCCAAAACGTTCAGGAATCTTTCAATTGTAAAGATAAACAAAAATTTTCATTTTCGATTTTTGAACGATTACCATAACTTACTCTTCGGAAAGTTGAAAATATTATAGTATCTGTACTCACAGTATCATTAAATCTGTTGACGAGTTCCAGCCAATCCCGCGTCCGATTTGCGGGTACGAGAGCGGGCTGGTGATCGCGCGGAGCATTTCGCCAGTCCCATTCATCCGGCGGGGCGCTCCACGTGACAGTGGCTGCACCGCCGCTCGTAACACCAGTTAGGGTCGAAATGAACGGACTGCCTGAATGAGTAATACATATCAAAAATAAAAACTTACGCTAAAACATCGATTGCATAATTAAAAAACAATCACTTATATTATAAATACACATATCTGCTTAACCCTTTCGCTACGGATGTCGTCCATGGACGACATATTGTGTTTGCGTTTGCTTCAACATTTATCTCTGAATTGAGAATTCTGGTCTTGTAATTTGTAGTTCATTAGAAGCGTAGTTTTTGATTTCATAGCAGATTTTTATTGATACTGATAGAAATATTTTAAAATACATCATTGTGTCTGTCCGTTCAGTAGTGCAACTGAGTGGCACGCTTTTCCCGTACAGCAGCGACACTCCTGCGGAAAGCACTCCCGTAGCGAAAGGGTTAATATAGACATATCAGTAAAAAGTAAATAATATATCATTAAAAAAAATATTCATATTATGAAATTCTTAATATCAAAAAATGCACACTACGAACTTGTGAATTTTATTGATTTCTTGTGAAACTTGTGAAAAATGATAAGATTTCATCAAAAATGTTTAAATTTCATATTTTAAAATTGAGCTAAAATAAAACTTACAGAAAATTCATGCACTTTATTAGTCAATATATACTAATCCCGGTGTGTCTCGTTTCCATTAAATATTTCCAAATAAATTTGTACTTGGATTTCAACACTGTCATATGCTAGTATTCACAGTTTTTGGCTTAAAAAATGAAGTGCATTTATTTTATATATCTGAAGTCATATGGTTTACAATCACAAATCTAAACTAATGTAATAAAATTATTCAAATCTTAAGCTTGAATATTTTGCTTATATGATAACCTAAACTAATTGTAAAGTAAGAAACAAACTAATATTATAATATTTAGTATTTATTATATTTATATAATTTATTTGAAATTATAGATTAACTATATTTGATTATTACCAATTAATTATTTCAATTATGATTTATTTACATTTAGCATAAGCAATTAGGCAACACTACAAAATGAATAAATACGCAAGCACATATGAATTAAAAATTAAAAATAAAATTTACCTGTTGCATACTGCAAATAAAGCACAAGCACGGTTCCGATGAAACAAACTGTCCTTAACAACATCACTATTAATTTCACAAATAACTTTTTTCACAAAATAATTTAATTAAATAAAAAAAACTGTCGCAACGGCTAATCGCACCAAATTCGCTGCAAAAATAATAAAACAAATATAAGCTAATGATTAGACAAAGATGATAATTAAGAATAAATAAACTAATGGAGGATGCGTTTTTAGATGAATAATTAGAACATTAATGACTTATATGCCTTGATAATTGACTTATATGCCTTAAATGTATGGACTAAAATATTCTTAAACTAAAAAATTTAAATGTCTCAAATTGCCATGGTATATAAAACCTACATATCATTCATGAGTTCAGTCAGTGAGTTAAAAAAACTACTACACTTTTTTTCCAATAACGTATCTCATTAAAAAAATACCAATGTCTATAGCGGAGTGTAAAATAGATAGAATGTAATTCATGCTTATGATATAATATACATTCAATTATAAATCCTGAATGAAAATGCGATATACCGGAAAACTACGTGCATATAATTAAAATATACACAAATATTTATGGCAGTGTGTATTATATGTATCAATTTATATGAGTATAGAAGTATATATATATATTTAGCGGAAGAATGAACAATCAGAGTCAACTTGCATAACGCAGACTTTTCCATTTTGTCGTAAAATGTTAGAAAATTAATTTTACGCATTCAAAACTAGTCATTTAACCAAAAGAATACTTAATTATTCATAAAAAATTACAACGTAACTTGACAACGATTGGTGTACTTAAAAATGTAATTGAAACATTTTACTTACTCATTATTAGTTTATGGTAACTGGTAACCATTTTCATTTTATGCGTATTAATCATTTTTTTAGTTTCCTCAACAATTTTGTATAATAAAACTTAAAGTTTTGATTGACAAATAAAATATTTTGAGGATAGGTGGGTATTGCAAATAATCCAATTTTAATGCACGTAAAAAATCTAATTTATAAACTGAAATTAATAATACAATACAATAGATCAAGGATGAGCAACCCGCGGCCCATAGGCATCTTGCGGGCCTTTAAATATTTTTCTGCGGTTCACCGAGTATTTCCAAAGTAGAATTTTATTTGTTTCATCAACTTTTTTCCATAAATAAATTAACCCTTTCGACTCGGATGATGCCACTCCGGCGGCAAAATACATATGAACCCCGGAATTCGTGAGTGGAAAGGTTTAATTATAATGTATTCTTTTCTTGTTGCAATAATTTATTAAATATTCACTCAAAAAATGTTTACTCGTATAAATCTAACGTATTTGTAAACTAGTTGGTTTTGTATTTAGCCTTGAGGCAAGTTACATGAACTTCCCGATATGTGTAATTAATCGACTTAATCAAATTAAATTATTTTTATGAGTGATTAAAAGTATTCCGAGTGGATTTATTACACATAATTGAAAACGAACGAACACTTTGACACGGGGTATTTTCTAAAAAACGATTTTCAGAAATCAACAACTATTATTATTGAACCAGTTTCCATAGGACTTTAATAGTATAATATGTTCATTAAAACCAAGTACTCTATCGTTATACCAAGTAAAATTGTCCAATTTTATTTTTAACAAACGTCAAAAAAACTACTCATTTTCTCAGACTTTGATGAATTTTTAAAATTAAACTACTCGTCGTAAGGCCGTAATATTTCAGTAAGTTCTATAAAACTATGATATATATCGCCAAAAAAAGTTCCATAAAAATCGGCTTAAATTTTTTTTCAACAGTTAATTACAAGAAAACGGCTCGGTAGATTTTCACCTAAAACTGATCAGTATCATTATATAGTAATATCTTTCGAACAGTTTTGATTTTTTAAAATCGATTCGGTAGAATGAGCTTAAATGTGGACGAAAAGTTTAACACTTTTTTCAAATTACAAAGAAACGGCTTAGCAGATCGGCAACACGATTCCCAATCAATATCTTTCAAACGGTTTTTGAATTTTCAAGATCGATTCAGAACTGCGGGCTAAAACGTGGACGAAAAATTTTTCACTTTTCTGCTATTTACAAAGAAACGGCTTGGCTGATCATCGCGCAAAATTGACTAGTCCTCATCGAGATACATGGAATGGCTTTTAAATTTTTGAAATCGGTCCAGCCATTTTTGAGAAAACGTCGATTTACGGCAAAAAATCTGTTCACACACACACACATACTTTTTCCAAATTTGGTCTCATTCGTTTCAGAATGGCTTGAAACGTCGAGAAAACATAAAATTAGCGAATCGGATTTTTTTATGAAAACAAACTTCTCCTTCGGAAAGTTAATTATTAATAAGTGTGACCCGCCACAAAATTTTAAAATTTAAATACCTGTGAACTAAAATGATTGCTCATTCTTAGAATAGATTTATGCAGTGACAAAACAGCGTTTAAACAATTCGTAAATCCATAAAAAATAGAAAGATAAAAATCGATATATTACATTTTACTATGTAATGATAAAAAAACAAACTTTGTAAGTAATTATAAAGACAGTGGAATCAACCCGATATACCTTTTGCAAATTGCTTTCAACTTGAACATGCTGCAGAAAATAAATGTAGATGCTATTGTAAATGTATGTTCTTCAATGCCCACAAATTTATATAAAACAATTTGCATAACATGCATAATAATATCATGTTTACATCAGGTACGTTTTGATCAGAATTCAGCACCGAGTTGCTGGTAGATTGTTTTGAATCAGTGCCGGTTGGTAAGGGTTAATTATTCCTTTGCTATAAAATTAAACTATTCAGCATTTTTCGTTATAAATTATTGGATATAATATTTAAATTATAGTAATTTCTGTTTTAAAATTACAAACAGTCATGACAAAAAATAAAAATTTAGCAATTTTGATGATATATTTAGATTAAAAGCTGTTTTTATGTTATCTACAAAGTATAATATCATTTAAATGTACATAAATGTAATAATTCTAATTAATTAACTACCTCGAATATTTCGTGAATTAATGTTTAAAATTTATTCGCTGGGTCAATGTTATCAGCAGACGCCACAGTAGAAGTCAACAATGTATTTATTGACGCGATGAGTATTTTTGGTAAGCAAAGGGAGGTCATGAGTAACGAATTCAATTTGAGAGATGAAATTTATCACTTGAACTTTAATATCTTCATAGATAATTATTTGCTATAATCAATAGAAGTCACGCCATATTATTTATGTCACATTATTTATTTTAAGTACACATACACTTGTATCTGAGCCTAAATAACAAAAGCACATGCATGTATAAATTATGTTTTACGCATGTAAATATAGCTAGGAATGTATCAGCTCTTTTTAAAACGTATCAGTTCCAAAATATATGCTTCGTAAATAAGCAATTCAAAAATTCTAAATTATTAGCTTCCCTAAGAATTTATTGTTTTCATCAAAAAATCCGATTAGCTAATGTTATGTTTCAAGTCATTTTGAATCGAATGAGACCAGAAAAAAAAATGTGTGTGTATGTGAGCCGATTTCTTACCTTTCGTCCACGTTTTCTCAAAAACAGCTAAATCGATTTCAAAAATTTAAAAGCCATTCGATGTAACTTGATAAGGACTACCGTATCTCAGTTTTGTGCGGCGATCGGTCAAGCCGTTTTTTTGCAATTAGCAGAAAAGTGAACATTTTTTGTCCACGTCTTATCCAAAAATTCTAAATCGATTTTAAAAAATCAAAAACTATTTGAAAGATATTGGTTGGGAATCATGTTGATTAGTTTTGGACAAAGAACGGCCAAACCGCCCCGTCGTAATTAACAGTTTAAAAAAAAATCGATGAAACTTTTCATGTTAAACATACTACAATATTGCGGCACTACGAGAAGTCGTTTCATTTTAAAAATTCATCAAAGTATGAAAAATATGTTAGTTAAAATTTGTGCCAAAATTTTATTTTATAATTACAGTTAAATTTAAATTAAAATTTAAAATATGTTCGAGAAAAATCAATTGAAAATCACAATACTTAGATGTAAGTGAAAGCGAAAACTTTATCTTCGAAATAAACAGCAGAAAATTTTATCTAAATCTCAGTTTCGGTACATTAAGTCAATAATTACACATGTCGGGAAGTTCATGCAACTTGCCTTAAGCGAAATGCCACTTTCAACTAGTTTATTTGTTTTTCTAATTCTGGAATAATTTAAAAAGGCAAAAAGCCGATTATTTACTTGCAAAAAATTATGTAACCGTTACACTGTACTAGGTAACTAATTTATAAAGAAAACAATGCCGATTTATAAAATTATGCTTCGAGATTATTTGATAAATGATTTAGGAACAATGCGTAAAATGTGTATCTTATATAAAATGTTCATTTTTATTGCATGAATAACATGTGGAAGATTTATACTCTAGCTGATATTTGTCGCTTGTTACTGTTAACTTAAATTGTGATTTAGGGGGAGTCCATTAATCACGTGAGGTTTTTAGGGGGAGGGGGGGTTTGACAAAAAATCACGAAATATCACGTGGGGGAGGGAGGGGTATAGTAAGATATCACGTGTATTTATTTTTTAACTGATTTTTTTAAAAAAATCAAATATTTTCAAAAAAAAATCTAAAAAATTAGTTTTTTCTCGTAACTAAAAATACACGTGATGTTTAGTGGGGGAGGGGGGGTAATTTTGAATATCACCATGTATCACCAAGGGGGAGGGGGGGTCCAAAAATCCTTAAAAACACGCTCACGTGATTAATGGACGCCCCCTTAATAATGATCTCTAAAAATATAGTAAGAACATTTCTGTTTTAGCACAAATTGAATTGCCTTATTAGTTTGATATATATTACCAAAGTCTAATTATCGGGCATAACATCACCATCGAACCATGGATTATTGATTTTTTTGTTTTTAACACTAAGATTAAGTAATTGTAGGTAAGTTTTTTCTATATATTTTTTTCATTCTTAATTGTTTTAGTTTTTAAATTTTATTTTAATTACCACTAAATAAAGACTAGGATTATAGCCAAAACGTATGGATTGTAAAATAAATTTTTGAAAGAAATTTATGGCTATTTTATTGATTATTAGACTTAGTTAATACATATGTCAACATCAAATTAAATACTAAATTCATATATGTAAACATGGCAATAAAGCATTTAAGAAAAGTTTACTAATTTAATAAAGTTAGGGAGAAAAATATATGCGAAAAGATGAAAGTTATGATTGCTGAATTACTACAAACACATGTAATTGAAATAAATTAAATAATAAATACATACCACTTCTATATCATATCTTGAGAAAATCCTTTAGTACTGTTAAAACTCGAGGCACAAAAAATTAAACAAAAACTCATTGTTTTTCATATCCTAACCGAGAATACAAATACGTTATAAAATGGCACGTGTATAATTCACAGTTGGAACATAAGATCTGTTAATAAACTATTATTTGTTCTGTTAGATATTCTATAAATTATTAAGTAAGAAATAATCTTCAACTCAATTACTTTTTTTTTTAAAAAAAAGGGATTAATCAAAACGGAAAATAATCATTCAACGAGAACTAGTTTCAATTAACAAATAAAAAATACTATTTTTATATTTAACATGATAACATCGAAGGCACTTATTGAAAACACTTACACATAATTGTATCTTTTGCACATCATGCTAGTATATATTTTAATTTATAATGCATGTCCCATTTAGCAAATTGTGCATAAGTACATCTAATTATTAAAGTACTCGATCATTCTGTAATTTTGTATTGCAATAATGTCTTACAGATGTTAAAACGGGGCCCGATGGAATTTCGAATCGAAGAAAACTAGTTTTTAGTCGATTGGTGAATTGAGGTTACGTGAAATATAACGGAGCGCCCCGGATATTGTGACTCGCCGATATATTTAATTCGAATTACGTTCGCACAAGAAGAATTGGACGTTTTTTGTCGTCATTTATTCCGTCCTTTAACTGCGATGCTCAACGTACTGAACTACAAACACGACTGATGGTCAGCGAACATCTGATCGCCGAGTTCCGATCCGATGGTAAGTTTACACTGATAGTACGGACTCTGCGGACATCAGCCGTGATTCAACGCGAACGAATGCGATAGTCTTATTCATCGACACCAGATGGCTTTGGGCATTGTCATTACCACGCTAACTAGTGGGGTACATGGCATCGTGCTTTAAGGCAAACTGCTGAAACTTCCTGTACCAAAAATTTTTTTTTTTTTTAAGATTAACATTTTTGAAAAAATTTTACTTCGAAAAAAAATAGATTTTTGAGAAACTATAAATTTTTGTCAAAAATTTACTTTTTTTGAAAAAAAGACTTTTTCAAAAAAAAAATGTTTTGTTTTGAAATATTTTGGAAATTCTGAACTTGTTTCAAAGCAATCGTACTGCTTTAACTGCATAGAGAGGAAATATTGGAGCGCGTAAGTGCCGCGTCATTGGTACGGTACCCATAGGAAATAAACAAAATTTATACTTATTGCTAAAATATCCATAAAATATCTGATAATTTGATGTGCATATATCTAATGATCATTTTTGACTGACAAATGGCATTTTTTTTACTTTTTTCACTAGATCTCCGCAACCCCTAGACCTGCCTTCATGGAAATTTAATCAGTCCTTCATCTTGTCAATACAAGTGAAATGTTTTTTGAATTTCTAACCGTTTATGGGACTTTTTTCCCCGTATCTTCGAAACGGCTAGGCCTGCCTATGCCAAAAACTAATCAGCACGTCTCCTTATCAACAGCAATCGAATGTTTTTTGAATAATTGGAATCGGTTGAACCGTGTTCCCGAAATCGTCAACGAAAATTTGTATCCGCACACACACACATACATCATATAACACATTTTCATTTTCAATTTTTTGCGACTACTATAACTTACCCTACGAAAAGTTAAAAACTATCTTTTTAAACAAGTGATTCTCAAAGTGATCAACATCGACCCCCAGGGGTCCATAACAACGTTCAGGATCACAATCCACATCGTTAATATATCTATTTACTAATACTATCTATAACAAACATTTATTAACTTCCCGTAGGGCAAGTTATAGTAATCGCAAAAAAATCGAAAATGAAAACTTTTATATATCTTTACGTTTCAGAGGTTTCTGAGTATTTTGGCATACCTTAGAAAAACTGGATGTATGTGTGTGTGTGTATGTGTGTGTGTGTTCGGATACAAATTTTCGTCGACGATTTCGGGAACACGGATCAGTCGATTTGAATAATTCAAAAAACATTCGATTCGTATTTATAGAAGACGTGCTGATTAGTTATTGATGAAGGCAGGTCTAGCCGTTCCGAAGATGCGAGGCAAAAAGTGCCAAAAACGGTAACTCAGTTTTTAAGAGAACGGAGCGTCCGATTTTAGGAATTCAAAAAACATTTTACTTGTATTGACAAGATGAAGAATTGATCAAATTTTCATGAAGGCAGGTCTAGCGGTTTCGGAGATCTAATGAAAAAAGTAAAAAAAAAAGCCATTCGTCGGTTAAAAATGATCATTAGACATATGCACATTAAATTATCAGATATTTTATAAAAATTTTAACAATAAGTATATTTTTTTTTACATTTCTATGGGTTCCGTATCAATGTTTATGCGTTAGACGACGGCGCGGCACTTGCGCGCTTTGACATTTCGTCTCTATGCAGTTCAAGCAGTACGATTGCTTTGAAAAAAAGTTCAGAATTTCCAAAATATGACAAAATGAAGAAAACATTTTTTTCCTCAAAAAAATTTTTGTCTTAAAAAAAAAAATTTTTTTCAAAAAAAGTAATTTTTTGTGAAATTTATAGTTTCTCAAAAATCTAATTTTTTCTAAGTAAAATTTTTTCAAAAATGTAAATAATTTTTTTGAAAAATAATAATTTTTGGTACGGGAAGTTCCAGCAATTTGCCTTACGGCACGATGCCATGCGCCCCACTAGTATAAAATATTTATAAATAGAACTAAAAAGTAAACTAGCAGTGCATCGTGAATCAAGTAAATTGCTCCCGTATCGTATCGGAATATCCAATGTTTTCAAATAGATTATTATAAATACTGTAATTTTTATTATTCGTATTTTGCACAAAATATAAGAGCTTATAAATTGAACGACGACGTTTATATTATGTTTACGTGAAAATTAAAACAAAACTTTATCCATCTGAGTTAGAATCAAAGGTCCTTATCACATATTTCTAAGAGTTATATAAATGACAACTGCAAAGTTAAAATTATTTCAAGTGTATAAGTGAATTTTAGAATTTTAGCCATGATTAAAATTCGAATTATTTTCGATATTCAAAAAAATATATTTTTTAAAAATTAAATAAAAAAAATCTCTTTCCCAAAAACTAATCGCTTCTTCACACTGTCAATACAAGCAAAATGCTTTCTGAATCATTCAAATCGGATGCTTGGTTCTCTCAAAAACTACACTTTTTTGCACACTTAGCTCCGTATTTCCGAAACGGCTTGATCTTTTTTATCCAAAAACTAATCACTATTTTTTTCAACCACTACGAGTTGAATGTTTTTTTTGAATTATTCAAATCGGATGCTCTGCTCTCTAAAAAACTTAATTTTTATTTTCCACACTGTTTGCTGCGTATCTCCGTACGGCTGGACCGACCTTTCCCAAAAACTAATCAGCACACGTCTCCCTATGAATAGAAATCGTTTGCTTTTTCAAAATTTTCAAATTCAAATCGGTTGATCCGTACGCCCGAAATCGTCGACGAATAATATTAGTTGAATGCCAGATAAGGGCTATTTTCACTTGGAAACATATAAGACGTTTCAATTCTTATTATTAAAACAAAAAATGTATTTTTCAAATAGTCATTTTATTAACATAGTAATATATCTTGAAATAGTACAATTCATTGAAGACATTACAAAATTTTACTTGATAAAACAAACTGCACACAGATCACTCGTGCAAATAAAAATATCCAAATTTAAAACGACATACACGTGCGCACACGTATATTTATAATAATATGTATATGTATATAAATATATAAATATGTGTATATATATATATATATATATATATATAGTTATATATGTATATATAGAACCGAATCTATGCATAACTGAATGCATTAAAACGTTTATTATACTATAGTTAGATCAAAAATAATTTTCATTAAAAAAAAATTCATATGCGGTTCCATATACAAAAAAATACATATTATTTTAAATAGTAACAATATGCTATTATAATTATATTTTTTTACTCTTATTACAGTTATAAATATTACACAAACGATCGTTTTTTATATGTTTAGGTACTTTGGTATTAATAACGGTTATATTTTATCACTATCAAGTTGCAGATTCTTCAGAATTGCATTATTGAAACATATTTTCTAATGAATATTAACATTTTATGCCAAAAATAAAACTTTGCATTTATTACTTTATATTTAACACGTAACATATAATTTCTCAAAAAAAATTACGATCGTTTGATGATTATCTAGTCTTATAATTAATTATATTTGAAAAGGCACTGCAGTCATATATTTTTCTCTTAATAAAATGGTCACTAATTTGATTTGATAACGAAATGTGTGCTAGTATTGTAACTAATTAAACATCATTCATCAGTGACCAGTGCGTAAAAGTTTATTATTAAAAACAAAATATAAATAGAACATAACGATCAAAAACAATATGACCTTATAAAATTTTAAAATAATAACAACATTAAATCCTCTAAGGTATTATAGATAAAATAATTATAATTAAGACTCATTTATTTGAAATAAAACAAATTAAAACAGCAAATATATAATATTTAAATTAATATAACTATAATAAAATTAATTTAAAACTTATTTTTAAATAAAATTTGACTAAATAAAAAAGGTGGGAATGTTTAAAAACCTTATAAACATATAAATATATTTTTTATCTTATAATGATAACTCTATAAATTATGATAAAGACTAAAATTCAGTATAATGCCTGTACTCTTACAATACAATAAATTGAAGTAGGAATATTATTGTTAGGTATAAAATTATTCTGTGATATTCGGAATTATGGCAATATATTTGGTAAATGCTTTTCAAATATATGTTGAACATAAAATTGTTACCAAGTTAATAACAAAATAAATTTTACATATTTAAATTCATCATCTTAATTCGAATTGCTCATTATACAGCTCACAAATAACAATTAAAAATGACAAAATTACACTCTATAAATCGAAGTATACAATGAGACATATTTGCTCCTCGTGTACGTATATATATATATATATATATATATATATATATATATATATATATATATATATATTCAATAGATAAGTCCTGGATTTTTTCAATATATTGATTGTTTCTTTTCCGAACAGTAAATCCAATAATAAAAAACAATTTATTACAAATTAAACAAAAAAATATTAGTGATATGGATATATAAATTATTACAGGTAAATAATTTTTGCTTCTCAATTTTATATAAAACCTTTTTTAGTTAATTCTTATTAATCTTTACCCCGGTACATAATCCATTCCTTTATAAAAATTTTTTTCTAATTAATCTGTATTGACCATCATTAATTAATGTTAATGAATATTTTTAAAAAACGTTGTATTTGACAGAATAAACCTGATGATGGAACGTACCTAGTTCCGAAACGTCGTTATTAAACATCTTCAAAAAACAAATTGTTTTTTATTATTGGATTTACTGTTCGGAAAAGAAACAATCAATAATATATATATATATATATATATATATATACATATATATATATACATATATATATATATATATATATATATATATATATATATATATAGACACGTGGCAATATGTCCGCAAGTTCATATATATAATACAAACGCACTCATACACATACCTATCTCAAGTATGTGCAAAACTACATAAAATCTAATGAAATATATTTAAATCTTGAATGAAAAATATGAGATCCTATTGTGGAATGTTATAGAGTCATAAAATTTGACTTACAATTAAACAACAATATAAGGCGTCTATTCGGTTTCTATTTTTATATTTACTAGAAGTGCACTTTTGTATACAAATTGATAATTATTTACGTTATTAAAACGATGAAAAAATAAATGCCAAACATGTGTGATCAAAAAGCCCACTCGTGACACATATTGCGGCATATAATCCTACACACCAATTTAATTGTTTAAAAAATTAATTTAGATAGGTACATCATTTTGGTCCCTGTTAAAAATACTTGTGGTTGACAGTTAAACATCAAAATAAGCAATATATATATATATATATATATATATATATATATATATATATATAAATAAATAAATATATATATATATATATATATATATATATTATGTGTGTGTATGTATGTGGATATGTATGTACGTAAATATATAAGATGTACATACGTATGTATGCATGTACGGCTGCCATTATATATAAAAGTGAAGATGAATACATACAATTCGGCCCTTACAATATCAATTAGGAGAAGTTTACGATGCAATTTTGGATATTTTAAAAATGAAAAATTAAATTTAAAAAACCCAACATGAAGTACGAGTGTTTTTTCAATGAAAGGCTAGATTTTTTTTACTCCCTTGGCATGAATTGCTCAATAGTGTAAATATCCCCAAAATAAATAAGTAAAAATTTTCAAAATATTACACATGCATTGGAAACAATTGAAAATTTAATAATATTCTTGCAAACAGTAATGAACTTACGGAAATTTCTGGATTTCCTAAAAAGTTTGGATGCAAAATAAGAATTTAAAAATGGTTCGGGTTCAACAAAAGATATATATATCTATATATATATATATATATATATATATATATATATATATATATATATATATATAATGGCATTGTATAACATGTGGATACGAAGATATAGGTAGATAGCATGCATACATACATACACATGTACATATATATATATATATATATATATATATATATATATATATATATATATATAAAAGTTTTGTCGACGTTGATACATATTTGTAAAATTTTTTGCAGCCCAACCGTCGAATTAAAAAAAAAGATTAAATAACAAAATTATTTTAATAAATAATTTTGTTATTTAATCTTTTTTTTAATTCGACGGTTGGGCTGCAAAAAATTTTACAAATATATATATATATATATATATATATATATATAAATATAAAATAATGCCAATCATAATGTGTGTGAACTATGTAGCAGAAAGAATTATATTTTATACAATTTTATAAAGAATCATCAGTACTTTCTTAGTTTAGTTAATATTATTAACTAAGATTTTTCAGTCAATATTTTAAAAAGATTAGTTATTTTCGAGTCATAGACATCGACGCGACCATCCTGAAGTTTTTAATTTAATAAAAATTTCATTAATATATTATAGTAACGTTGCTTCGGATAAATATATTATAGTAACGTTGCTTCGGATAAAATAAATTAATAATATGGCATTTGATGACTGTTATATTATTATAAAAAGAACATAAGCATTGAAAGATTAAATGAATTAAAATATTTATATTATTAATAGTTAAAGTTGCTTTCGTGTCCACGCCAGCGCTTTAAATATTTATCAATTTAATTATAACTTTAAAATTCACGGCCAAATAGCGATGATCGACCACGAATATATCACAAATATTATATTGCACAGCTAAAGAAAGAATTCGAATATTATATATTATAATTTAAAGAATTTCAATTGAATTCCTTCTCGTCGAATGCGTTACTGCATATATGATTAGATTCTCGGAATGCATTCTTAAAATGAAAGAACAATTATCAGAAATAACTTAACAAAGTGTTATCACAACTTACTACGTGTTAAACCCTGCTACTCTATTTACTACTCTGGCTCAATCCATCGATATTTATAGTATTCGCTCCGAAAGTTTTAAAAGAGCGCGCGCTATCAACGATAGACAAACTATCGTTTGGTAAAACTTTAATTCTACTTCCGGGCACCTTGCTAAGGTAATTGATGTCATCGCGTTTTTCTAAATTCACCGATAAGCTGTTGAAGTTCGAAAATGCTTCTAACTTCAAATCAGTGTCACGCAACCGCGAATTTATCTCTTCTATCATTAATTTCGATTCGTGAACTTTGAGTCTTGTTTGTAAAATGCAAGAATTAGATGAAACTGCGGTATCAATATTTTGGACTTCTTCCGCTTTCAAAGGTGGAATGTTAGATTTTTGTTTCTGTAAATTCGATTTCGAAATTCGTAACTTAAGAGCCTTGCGCTCTGTTGTACAAGGATTTGAGAAAAAAACATTATCCTTTCCCATATCTTTATTTTTGTACGGAGAGGCAGAAGACTTTAAGCTTTTCTTTTCTTCATTTTTCAAAGCAGAATTGCAAGAACTCGATTCTTTCTCACTAGCGTAATGTACGCCATAGTCATCTTTCTTTATCACCAACTTCGGAATTACGTGTTTGGGCGAATGCTTCTTCTTTAAACTTTTGCTGTGATATTGTTCGTCTATGCTATTTAGTGCGTCTTCAAAATTTCTTTTTCTAGATTTTGCTTTAAGTTCGAGATCATATTCTTTAAACTGATTTTTGGGTATAATGCTATTTAAGCAGACTTTATTTGATTTTTTTTCAATAACATTTGCATCCTCGGTGATAGCATCAATTTCATTAGGATCATTATGTACATCGCTGACATTCTCGGTAACCTGAGCGATTGAACTATTACATGTAACGATTTCATTTGCTTCATTATTAAATTTGTCCAATAAAGAAGTTTTATGTTTATATTTGTATTTATTAGAATTGTTATGCTTGGTTTCAATAGGTAATTCACTTAAATCGTCAGAAAATGCATAATTATTTTTTATTACAGTTTTTATTTCAAACTCTTCATTCAATGAAAAGGCTTTAGAATCAAATTTATTGTTGTTTTCAATAATATTGTTATTATTATTCCCGCATTTATCATCATGCAATTTCTTAACAATTGCGTTGCTATTTACTCGACTTTTACTTTGAATCTTTGGCTTCGTAGATATGTCGAACATATTATTGCTTCGGGGGCACGTGTCAGTTCGTGCATCTGGAATCGAATAAACATCAATAGAACGGTTTACCTTTATTTTGTCTTCAGTTTGTAGACGCGATTTCTTAGAGCTATTATTGGCGTGATTATTCAAGAGTTTAAGGTCATTTACTTTAATAGAGGAAACAATTTCTTTGTTTGTAACAACCAGGTCTTCGGACAAAAATTTAGTTTCAGAATTATTTTCTTCTGAATTATTTTCAACTCTCTCCTTATCGTGCCCTTGCCGCTCATCGCGTATTTTTAAACCATCTTCAACACATTCGCTTTGTTTTTTTGGATTAACGTAATCACCCGCAAAATTCCGTTTTCTAATAAGCAATTTATAACCCTTGTTATCCCTATGACTACTATTTCCTACATACAATGGTTTATCAGCAGACTCACTACTATTTCCTAAATTATTTATAATTTCATTTAGATTTTGTGTCGATTGTTCAGTGTAGTATATTGCAGCAATGCTATGTCTTCGTTGTATCTTCGGTCTATTGTAAAAATTATTTCTTTGTTTTATTTTCACTTTAAAGTGATCAGGTTGAAATTTTATAGATTCTTCAGGTTTTATGCTCATTTTTTGTTTTGTGTTATATATATTATGTTCAAACTCCTTATCAACTTCATCTGAAGAACCAGATTTCGAAATTGCCTCTTCATGCTCAAGTGCGTTTCTCTGTTGCGAACGAACTAAAGAATGTTCCACATCATAGTTAAGTTGGTTTTCCTCACAATTGCTGATTTCTTCATGGGATTGTACCACTGGAGAGTCAATTTTTTCAAAACCCATAATTATATCTGTGGCCCTTTCTTGTTGAATTGTAAATTTCTTCATAAAAGTATTATCTATGTTATCACTATGTGATTTTTTATTTATGTCCTCAGAAAGCATAGTCTCCTTGCAATGATGGGCGCAATCAATGTCTTCAAAATCTATGTTGACGTTATGTTTCCTAACTGAATCTTTATTTTGAAATTCAAACCCAGAATGCGTTATCACACTTTTCTCAAACGTCTTTGGTCTAACTTATCTTTGGTATCAAAGTTATTTTGGGCAATCTGTTTAGGTTTATTCATATATACATCATTGAAAACACTGTCATTTTCACATAGATTGACATTATCATTCAATTTGATTTTTCGTTTAACTTTATATCGGTCATTTAACAATTTTTTGAAAATCATATCAAAAAATTCATAATTTGAATTAGTATCATTTGCAGAATTTTCATTACACCACCCTTCATTACTTGTGCACTTGATGTTTAAATTATTTAAATTGCTGTTAAAATCTTGTTCAATTTTATTAGGATCGATATAAATGTATTTATTTTTGTTAATTTGCGCATTTTGAACGTTTTGATCTAAATGGAAACTCTGATCTAAAGTCGCATAATTATTTGCGTTAGACTTTGGTATTTCTGGTGTTGAAATATGTTTCGGAGTCATGATCCGACTTAAATCTGATCTGGTATTAAAATCGCTATCTTGAAGGTAGCAAATATGAGAAGAAATTTCTTTGGGGTCGTTATTATTAGAGTATTTCGATTTTGGACAGCCGTCATCAAAATCATTTTCTGATAAAACTACAATTTGCTTCTTGAGTGGTTTATCAATAAGTTTAATGTTTTTGTCGCATTTCGAGTAAGTTTCAGTGTCAACACTATCCACATCAACACAGTTTAAGTCATCTGCAATGTCAGTAGGCTGCACATTATTTCCGTCTTGCTCACCACTTTTATCAATATTACTGACAGTGTGTACGTTATTAGCAGAACTTTTATCAATACTTCTATACTCTATTATTTCTTTGGTGTTTCTATTAACAACTTTCACTGAACGGAAATTATGTTTTTTAACTTTCTGTAGAATATCTTGAATATTCTCTATTTTAGAAAACTTTAAAGATTTATTAATAAATATGTCGTCTACATTATTTGAAATTTCATCTTTCAAAAAAACTTCAGGTGACTGCCTTCTTTCCAATTTTTTATTGTCATCCATAAAATTGTTTGCTTCTAAATACTTCATATTTCTTAATTTGAACAATTTTGCTGCAGTAGTGTCAATTTGTTCATTATTTGAGTTATTAGAAAATTCATCTATCACTAACAACTCAGAATTATCCCTTAAATTAGAAGAATCTTGTTGATCAGTGCACATTTTTTCAGAATTGTTGTTGTGTTTCAATGACTTAGAATTTTCAGCATTATTAACAAAGCAACCATTTTCTAATAAAGCACTTTTATTTTGGTCTGTTAAATGATTATGTGAGTTATTTTTCTTATAACCTATTTCCATTTCCTTTATAGTATTCAAATTTGTATTAATTTTTGTATCTAAAACGACATTTTCAGAAATAATGGGTTCATTAGTATCAATGTGAGCATTACTATTACTGTCATCATCAGAAGTAAATATTACTTTTTTATCACATACAATTTCTTCAAACAACGGAAAATTATTTAGAGATAATTCATCTTGCAAATCATGTAAAATAGCACTGTTTTCATCAAATGGTATTAAATTTTGTTCTATATTTTGTTTAGAAATTAAAGACTTTGAACATTCTGTTGGTACGCTCTTGCAATTTTCTATAGGTGCATCAGATTCAGAAATACATTCCATGTCTGGATTATAAATACACAAAAAATAATCATTACCTGAAAGTTCTTTGTTACATTCCTCAGTCTTCACAGCAAATTGAAGTAAATCTTGACTTTCAATCTTCTTTTTTTCAACCAATACTATGTGTAGATTTTGCTCTGAAAATAATATAAACATAATAAACCAAACACTTCAGGTGCAAATCATTCAGAACAGTAAATTTAAAAAATAAATTCAAATATGATAATAATTATAATAATAATAATAATAATATATATATATATATATATATATAATATATATATATATATATATATATATATATATATATATGAACAGTGTACATGTATTTTTTCAATAAATTTTCAAAAATATATATATATATATATTTTTATCGAATTTTGGTGTGTGTTCAGCATTTGAATTGGAAAATAGTTCGTCATTAAGATAAAATGTAAATTATTTCACTTCAATTTAATGTCAAAAATATAGGTTTAAACATAAATTAAGAATTCTGATTGAATATTCTAAAAATAAATAAATATGAATTTACACTAACCTGTGCTCTCTTCAGCTTTTTCTAAACTACTTCCAATGAATCAGTTAGATACAGCTGACTACCATAATCAACATTTTCACAATCCAAAGTAAATGTGCTGTCATCACATTGGAAATAGACAATATCCAATGAAGATTCACTACA